TTTGCTTTTTATTCCCGTTCTTTTTATGTATATTAAATTGTGTTAATGTCTTATATGACTACTTGGTTTTTCTACGGAAAGTCGTATAAAAGTTTTTGAAAAATTTTATTTACAATTATTCAAGGTAAATCAATTTTATTTCAAAGATATTTGACATATATGTACATATGTATGTGTGTGAGAAGGCTATTGAAAGTCCTAATGTCATTTTATCAGCTTTTTTTATCTCAAATTGAAATGCCGAAAAAGACCAATTTGGTTTTTGAACAAAAAATCATCACATGTGGATCGGAGAATAGGGGGGGTGTTAAAACCGTAATGGAATTTTTACTCAAAAACTCACGGACAACAAGAGAGGTTTGAGGGGCATTGTCGTGGTGAAGAATCCAACGCCCCTCTCGGCCAAAGACGAACTCGTGCCACACGATTTTTGGCGACTGTCGACGTGAATTTTCCATCAACTGTCTGGCTGGAGGGGAATTTTTTTTGGACAATCCCCCGAACATCGAAAAAAACAATCAACATTGTCTTGACATTCAATGGATTTTCTTGATTTTTGTTCGTGGAAATAAATAATTTCACTTTGGGTTTTTAAAACATTTTTTCACTCGGATTCTTGCCGATTTCGAGAGAAGTGATTATGCGACGCGCTGCTCTTCAACGGAAGCGGGCTAACGCCGACGGGGTTTCGTTAAAGGTAACCTCATCAGATGGCGTGACAACTCGTCGAGCACAGGCGTCAGACCAGACTGAAGCATTGTTAGGGACAGGAAGCCCTCCCGCGCTTATGTAATTGTGTTTTATGTTCGTACCGATTGCTTTTGTAATCTCCCGTTGGTCTTTACGATGCTTAATTGTGTTAATGTCTCATAAACCAGAGTTATTGTTCATTGATCTTTGTTGATTATGTATTATTTTGCAACGAACGAAACTATTTATAAATTGCACCTGTTCAAACAAACAGTAACACAATAAATTATATAATGCAATTGTTATAACACATGATGAATGGAAATGTTTATCAATACTGTCTAAAAATATATTGAATGGCTTGGGAATAAAATGTATTATTTTCATTTGTATAATTTGTACACAACTAAATGTGTTTTCATTTCTGTTTATCAATTTTATAAACTTTCGTGAATTCCAATTTATTAATAATTTTTATTATGCTAATCTGTACTTCTAGATTTAAAGGAAAATTATTTTTGGAAATCAATAACAATATATAAAAGTATCTCTGTAACGTAACTATGTACCTTTGGAGTTCCTGAAAGATTATAATTTATTACCTTATTCTATATCTGTGAAGCTGTGGCCACTCAACGTTTAGAAATCCTCGGAATAGTGAGGTCCCTCCATGAGGCCTGTGAAGATCTCAGGAAGCTTCTGTGCTTCTGGGCGGAGATGGGCTAGCTGTACTAGAGCTAAGCGCGGAAAAGAGAGTCCAATTTACATTACATTGTCTTATTCTATATTACGAGAAATATGAGGTGTCAAACTTCATATGTTCAAGTTTAAGGTCGTATCTATCTTGTTACAAGAAAACTTTTGTGAATAAAGTTTCTGAAACTTTCATATTATACCCAATTTCCTAATACTGTAATAATATGCTCCATATGAAAATCTTTAAATAGCATGTGGCACGAATAAAGTAATTATCAAACATGGTCAATTAGATTTTAGAGTAATTAGTTTTGCCTAATCGAATTATTTCTGACGGGCGTTCCATGAATTAACTAGATTATTATGGTAAATTTAAGTCTAAAATGAAAGCTTTATTTAGTAGTAACGAAGGGTCCAATGGGAAACTTAGTAATAACTTTGTCTACTGGTTAGCACAATTTTAGGATAGTAATATTAAAAATCAAATTAAAAAATCAATGATTCCCAGAGTTATCCTAGAACTTATCTCGAGGATTCTTAGTTTTCAAAATAGCTAAGTATGAAGGTTACTGTTTGCGCCATAGTATGCTCTGTTATGTCCATGGTACTATTTTTTTTATGGGTGATAATGGAATGATAACCCCTGCCGCGCTATTGGTATACACCGACGGGGCACTAGTGAGGGATGATAGATGAAGATGAAGCAGGTCAGTTAGCCCATCGTGACGGATTCAACAAGAATTGTTCACGATGGTTTCCAGGGGGAACCACGTGGAGGTCGACCTGATAGGGCCATGGTACTATTATTAATGTTGGTATATATTATTCATTGTGACGATTACCACTTTCCATCAGGTGGGCTGTCAGTTTGTTTACCATTTTAAGTTGCATAAAATAATTTAGTAGTTTTACAGGGGAAAGAGATTTTTAGTTATGGGGTCTATAACCCCTCATTGGTGCTTCACCAGCATATATCGATAGCGCAGACGAGGTTAGCATTTAATTTTCATTCATTAAAAAAATGTGTACTTTAAAGAAAAAAATATACTTGCAAACAATATGTACTTAACACTTAACTTACTATTAAAAATCCTAATTACCTCGACTGAGGATCGGGAAAGCCGTCAATGTAGACTTAAACCGAAATCTCACCACAGTTGTAAACACTATATAACTTGTATATTGCAGATAGGAGATCATTGTAATAGCCATAAAGTTAATACGAATTTAATGTTTCGCCCTAAACACACCGATATGGCGTATCTACCGTGACGCAACTTAATAGGTTAATTTCCTTCGTGCATTGTGTTTGTGTGTTGCAGTGCATTTGGAGCTCTGATGGCTCTCAAACGTATCCATATGATTAAGAGGAATTGTTTCTTCGAAGTAGAACTAGGTGTTTAATGATCAATTAAAGTATGTAATCGAATCACTTGAAAAAGAATAAAAAATTCGTAGGTCTATTGTGTAGATTTTTTTTAATGGATGATAATGGAATGATGACCCCACCCCGCCTGTGCTATCGGTATATACTAGCGGGGCACCAGTGAGAGATGATTGGTGAAGATGAATAGGCAGGCCAGTTAGCCCATCGTGACGAATTCAATGATAAATTAGTTATGATGGTTTCCAGGGGGAACCGCGTGGAGGTCGACCTGGTAGGGTATATTGATAGCAATGAGGACTAACCTCCCCATTACCAACAATCCCTTCCCCTCAAATATTGTGTAGATTACAGAAGAATTATATACATAGTTTTCAATAGCAAAATATTATATTAGTTACACTTGCAGGTTTATTAATTATAATTTTAGCTTACTATTATATTTGTCATTTTTCCTTGTATTAAATGGTTTTTTAACTTTAACAGACCTAGGTAATTTCCTGGCGTCACACATCATCCGGGAGACGGATGCAATGTTTCCTTCAGTTTCCACTTGGATGAGTCAGTAGTCATGGCTTGCACGTAGGTCTTTGTTCTCTGATATTTCACTGTATCCAATGCTCATGTCATCAGTGAATTAAACACATTCTAATTTCCTTACAATTGATATTATTTATATAGTTAAATAAAAACTAAAAAAGTAATATAAGTGTTCTTTCCTATAATGATTAATAAATAAAGTGAAAACGAAATCGTACCTAAAATTAAGTCTATATATATTTTTTTTGTTTTTCAAGCCTAATAAAGTAAAATATTTTTCCTTGATGAAAATGTTTAGATTCACTGGCAGAACACTCTGTTAAAAAATGCGAACAATTTCAATAATTGTTTCAGTAGTTAATGTATTACTCCGTAGACGATCCTCCAATGAGAGGATAATCAGTGAATAAGGATTTCTTTCCATGTATTAATTACTATTAATAAGTTCTTGAAAGTTTGTTTGTTACTTCTTCATATCTTAACGGCTTCACCAACACTCATGAAATTTTGCCTTCACCTAGTATTTAGAAAAAACAAATAAGTATATTAATTACCTATTATCCCGGACACGCACATGCATCGCAGTCATAGCTAGTATAGACATATATTCGAAGTTAAGCCAAATATTCAAAGATAGAGAGCCAAACATTCAATGTATCGTCTCATTACTCATGCTAATCTTGGCAAAGCTCGAAGTCAATTCGGGTCATGTACATATGAAAATATAGCAAATGCCTTTGCGTGAGCATTTTACATGTTACGCTATTCGTTTTTTAACGAATTCCAAAGGTGTTAAAAGTTAGCAGGAGGTTGGTTATTCGTCTGTAATTTTTTTATGGTTGTTACACTATTACGTTGCCAACTTTGAACCGATTTTAGTATATTTCTTTGCAATCGATTGGGGTTACTCTCGTTGGTTTTATATTAATTTTATGACGGTGTTAGCTTTATGTGGGCTATTTATTGTGATTATGAGCATTTTATGGTATTTAAGTTACATCTCCATTATTCTATACTTACAAAAAAAATGAAGCTAAAAAGAATTTGCCAATAAGATCTGTATTGGCAGTTTAATTATCATTGAGTTAATCTATGATAATAAAACGTTATATATCGTTAATATGTTTCATTCTAAAAATAAAATAATTTCGTCGCGTGCCCTCAAATGTGCATCGTTACAATCCCTTGACACTGCGCGGGCGCATGTCGTGAGGGGAGCCCCACGCACGTGCTCAATTACGAATTCAAACCGGGTCTGAACAAAACGACTAGACACGAAAATACACAGCGCCGGACGAAGATGTTCCTTTTTCATGTTTAAATTGATATTAATGTAGTAAAGTGTCCTTATATTAAATTGAAATTATGTATATTAAATTATTTTTGTATATTAGAGAATTATTTTTGAAGAATTGTTCGGATTGATACCTGCTGCAGATTTTCACCATCCATAAACTAAAACATTCTACCGTGCGTTTTTCGCACAATAAAGACAGCAATGCCGTAGGTGTTGTGGGTGACCACTAAAAAAAAAAAAAAAAAATCACATTCTATCGCACAATAAAGACAGCGACTTCAATAGTACCAAAGTTATATATATCCAATGTGTAAGTAAACCCTATCAATTACAAAAAAAAAAAAAATCGGACCAATCCAGGTTAATTTATAAAACGTATTTTTGAATAACGTATCAGCTTTAAACTCTTTATTCAATATAGATCATAAAAATATCTATACCTCGTTTAAAATAAAATACACTGTACCACAGTAAATCTTTTCTAGAAGTCCATAAATTCAGATTCAAAACGGCAATAAGAAGCAGGAGTTATTGACTCTTCATCGTAACGTTCAAAATTACTCGTGTCGCCTGGAGATTTGTATTTCGGAATAAATGGTGGCGGAATCCGACAGTTAAGAATAGCCTCCCACTCAATCCCTCTGAACCATCTGTGGTTCTTATAATCCATGACGCCATTTTTCATAACGCCGAGTCGTTTAGTAATATCCACCTGTAGTACATTTCGCACGAGATCTCTCAAATCCGCATTGAAACTAGATGGGCACCTGTATTTTCCACTGACGATTTTCTCATACGTTTTCATAGGATCGTTTGCGTAAAACGGAGGATAACCTGCATTCATTTCAAATAGTAATACCCCAAATGACCACCAATCAACTGAAAATCCATATCCTTTGCTTAAAATTAGCTCTGGAGCAAGATATTCTGGAGTACCGCATAAGGTCCACGTTCTGCCCTGTAGTATTTTACAGAACCCAAAATCTGTAATTTTTAAGTAACCATTTTTATCGATTAAAATATTTTCAGGTTTCAAATCACGGTAAACTAGATTGCAGAAGTGCAGATATTCTATTGCTAAAATTACTTGACTAGCATAAAATTTCGCTAAAGGCTCTTCAAATTTACCCATTCGTCGAAGGTGAGTGAACATTTCTCCGCCTGGTATAAAGGGCATTATAAAGTAAATATAGCTATTATCCTTGAAACTACATTCCATAGAGACTGTGAAAGGAAATTTTATGGCTTCCAAAATACGTTTCTCGTACAAAGTGTGGTCTACTTGCTTCATTTTTATAATCTTTTCTTTTTCTAACACTTTCATTGCATAATATTTTGAACTTTTCAAATGTTTTAATAATATTACTCTGCCAAAAGCTCCCGTTCCTAGAGTTTTTACGCGTTCCAGATCAGAAAAAGCTATATCGAATGTGGGCGTCTTACACCAACGTTCTTCAAATTCATTCCTTAGCTTTTTCAAATATTTTGTGTATTGCAATTGTTGTTGTTCGGTATAACCATCACGTACATCTAAGGAAGGGGACTGTGATGTTGATCTATATGATATTTCTTTCGCTGATCCGAAATTTCTACGCGAGTACATTTTTCACATCTCATAAATGACATTTTGTTTATAGTTGGCTCATAGCCATCGTGAATTATCTTGTGCAAAATGTTATTAATTTATGTTGTTGTTACTATTAGTATTTCTTACTTAAAGAAAATGTACTAAGATTTAGATGAAATCGAAAGTAAATAAGGGTGTAGGTAGTGCAGGGTGAGGGGTGAACGGACGGCCAACCCCTACCGATCAGCTGTTTAGGGGTGCCACGCCATACCGCGCCAGCCGGTCGCCGTCCCGACTGGTGTATTGATCAGACACGTGAAAGTTTCCTCCCTATTCCGTGCTTTGTTGAGACGCATTAATACTGCAATCTTGGTATAATATGACTACGATTTCGTTAATCAAATTTACGATTAGCCCTTATGTCTCAATTTAATGAGAATAAGCAACGTAATAAGTATATTATTAATATTATAATATTGTATAAAAACACCTTACATGTTAGTAATAAAATATATTAAAACCGTAACATAACAATGCATCAAATTTCAGTAAAAGAACTTCTTCGTGTACTTCTTATTAACTACTTTTGTGTGTACATAATTTTTGTTTTTTAATACAGTGAATCTTATTAGGCGTTAGTAGGCCAGCTAATCGTACTTAAAACTATAGCCGTTGGCATTCGTTAAAATACCGTTAGTGAACCATAACATAGAATACATTCTACTTAAATGTACGTACATATTTTTATTTCGATGACTCATCAATAAAATCGAAACGAGTATGTGGTGTATCGTTGACGTTCTAAGAGTATGGTCCTTCGAGCCAGATGCTGGTCATGAAAAAACACATAACGACGGCATATGGTTTTATATTGTATAAATTATTTACACAGGTCAGTGTTAATTATGTAAGCAGGTAATTGTAATTCAATATACTCGTTTCAACGTAGGTGATACGTCAACGGGGGCATGCAGTGTATTATTGGTAATGTATAAAGGTATACTCGTAAACCAATCCGGTTACCAGGGCACGCTATGTCATGTGCTATTGCATGCTATGTCAATATTGATTGATTGAAAACGCTAATAAACATAAAGCTATTATTCAATGTTATAATTTAATGACATTCGACATTCTTTTTATACATAATCATTTCATATAAAAATATTTATTTAAAAATTTAAATCCCCTTTCAATAAATATGCAATTCAATTCTTTGAAGCAAAGTGACCGCTGTAGAATGTCAGTTTGCCTGTAGATATGTCTGTAGGTTGCCTATTCAGACATACATGAACAGTTAGACACAAACACAGGTGTCAAAAAATAAAACAATCGAAAAAAATGTACCATAAATGTTTTTGTCTATTTGTTATGAATATGTTCTTGATTTTATTCAGAATCACCAACTAAACCACCACTAACTTTAATCCATTGTACTGATGTACTTACAGCCTATATAGTGCGACATGGACAGAATAACAGTACAATGATATTTCGTTGCGATGACTTTATTGCGTGATTTGATGCTGACCTCAATCGGCGTGACCACCAGTAGTGATTTTGATGTACTAACTTCCAAGGTCAAGAGAACGAGGGTCGCGAATATCACGATAATACTACATATCGCAATTTGATGTCTACTACAAAAAATTTGAAGTTTTCAAACCTCCCTATCAACGATTTTCCACGACTATACACAGGGTTCTTTAAAAAGGGCATTAATAGGTTAGTATCATTAAACGCGAACGTGATACTTCTGCTTACCCTCATTGATGAGTACCAAAGGAAGGTTCCTTTGCTAGTTAACGACAGATAAGTGGTCACTACGACACGCATGAAAAAGTATAGGAGTCCAGATTTCTTTTAAAAGACGATTAAATAACGGCTCTGTTACTTTACTGTAATGAGTCTTTAGTGACTAAAGGACTTGTCGGCCACAAAATATACCTGCGGCCTAATTTTTCTATCCTAATCTTATCAGATTACACTGTTAAACTGTAAGAAAGTTATTTATTTACACAACCAACACCTGGTATTTATTACTCATAAGTTTATGTTCTAAAGCTACTCTGCCTGTGGTTCCGTGTTATGAAATGGAAACTGTTAATTTAACTGTTCAGTGTTTTACGGTGCGTTTAGCCAGTAAATTTTACACTGGTCATATTCACTGAAATAAAAAGAAATTTATAATTTACATCCCGAAATAGAAAGCGTCTAACATTACCGAATAGCCTTAACCACTAAATATAAATCTTATTTCATTATTTTTAAGTAACATTTAAGTATTATCTAAAAGTGAATTTAGTTAGACTAAAAAAAACAGAAAACGCATAATGTGAGCAAGAATATAAAATCCAAATTTTAAAGATTTTCAACTAAATTTTAAAATAATAACACGGGAACAATATACAAAATCCATGAAAGAACTTTTGCAACTAAAGAAATCTCTTTAGTCTCTTATTTAAATTATATTCTTAAATATAAACTGTGGGAATAGGGTAAACAAAAATTCGCTTCCACGGTGGTAAAACCAACGACGATAGATGTAACCATACCAACCCATGAATCTCTCTTCATTACAGAAAGATATTATCACATTGATTACAGGCGGTTTTTATTTCTATGGGCTTTTTTATTTTCTTTTCTTTTTCATACACTAATGTTAATTAACTAATTGGGTTTCCTCAATAACTTCTTATGACATTCTTGGGAATGTAAAGATTGATGACATTTTGTATTCTCATTCTCCATCATCACACGGAGGAACTCTCAACACTTATCTAGTATCCCAATCTGTATCCCACTATCTGATCTGGTAAACATTGTTTTATCCCCTGCTCCACTGATAGGTAAAAACCGTATACGGTTTTTATGAAAAATAATTTTTATTTATTTTTATGCCGATAAGAAAAACTTTTTTATTATAACTATCTCACAAGTTGGAGCAAACAATACACATTTACAAAATTTCATTAAAATGGGTTGAGTGATTTTGATAATTAGCGTAAACGACGTGACACGCGATTTTTATATATCAAGATATAAAAGAAACAGATTGACAGATTTACGTAGAGCCGTAGGTACTCGGTTTAAAAATATGAAATTTTACAGAGTAATGTCCGAAATAAGGACAAAGGTGAATCCTCATATGAACATAAAATCAGAAATAATTGACTTCACGCAGGCGATGTTCAGGAAACAGTTTTATACGTTATCACTATTCTTTATTGTAGATTTTAGATATTTAAATTTAAATCATCTTTATTCAAATAGAGTTGTTTACAAAAACTGAAATCTTATTTTTTTTTAAATCTACTCCCTGCAGTAGATTTCGGAAAGTTCTTATGTGCTGAAATGAGCTCGCAATAAACTCAACACTCACTCTTTTAAAATTTCTGTTAACATTTAATACATCTTATGAGAAACATATATTTATTTATTTATCTCTTAAAGTACATGGTCATTAAAAAGCATGAGCATAATCAACTACAGCGACGACGCACTTTTGTCATTCATGTAATCGTTTAGTATGTAATAGTATTTGTTCCATAAGTGTTTTTAATAACAGCTTTAAATTTATTAAAAGATAAACCTGTTAACTTTTTCTAAACGATCTTTCGGAACAGCAAGTTTGTATTTGTATCTTGTGTTAAGATTATTGAGTTCGCTCTTAGCTATAGAATAAGTGTTCGTTCTTTGCTCTGAATAAAACTTTAATGAACAAGACAGCTTCACATTGCTTCGAAGAGCGAAACCTATTTGTTGCAATTGTGTTCGCAGTCAGATATATTGCGATCATCGGTCAAGGTTGTGGAGGCCCGCTGTTCGCAATCCCAACTTGGCACGTCACCAGTTTGCTGTACTGAGATTTTTTGTCCCGATTTCTCACAGGTGTACTAAATTTTTCACATATCCGAACGGATTATTCAAACATTTTGTTTCTTATAAGCCTTATCCTGATAATTACGAGCATAGTAAAAAAAAAAGAAAGAAAATACGCTATTGCCATTTCGTAATTCATGTTTAGTTAATTTAAAAATGATTATTTATTGTTTCGTACTTTAGAGGGCAGGAATAGTTAACATTCGGTAAACAACTTTTTACATCAGAGGGAGCCATCCTCACAAGTAGTGGTAATATAAATTTTCGCTCTCACTAATACAAAATTATATTTTTCTACAAACATACGTCTATAATATGATACACAAACATCTTTATATATTATATAAGACACAAGAAACTAGACAAGATCTTTTTAGATGGTGTTCTGGCCAAATTACTTGTTGTTTCACCTATCGGGGTTTATTATGGGCTTTTTTTATTTTAACTCTATAACAAAATTAATATAATATTAATTATACAATTAACATAAAAAGAAAAAAAAATATAGGAACAAAATAAGAGAAGAAGAATAATAACTAGAAATTTAAGGTATGGATAATAAAAGACTTTCTTTTGGAGTGACCTGAAAATGTTACGTTACCAACTACCTGCTTCGTCACGGGTATTAACTTCACTTTGAATTCTCTAATCACACAGGAATAATGATCTCTTTTTCTTTCTAATCCCTCCCCGTCGCTAAGTACTTGAAGTAAAGCAATCAAAATAAGTTTCGCCGGTTATAATCCTCTCACTCATATTTATCAAAGTTGAATGGACGTTAAATGCGAACACTGGTACCTACTGTTGTAGTAGTTAATTTTGACTGAGACTACGCACTTATGTATGTTATACGTATGGTGTGAATTCTGCTTCACTTATAGTAACTGCTCTCATCTGTGCACTCATCATAATGCTATCTAAGTAACGATTTAGGATATTGATGCCATCAGTGTCTTATATTGTGTATTTTAGTAAAAATATTTTTATATAGTTTTTTCTCCGACTGCTGAAATAAGGAGAGTAATATTTCCAGTGTATTTATCTAAGTTGTATCTGGATCTTTGCTACAACTTTGAGTTAAGTTTGACCTATTTTTTAATAAATAGGCTGTGGTAATCATACAATTCAGACTATCTATCGTCTGAATTGTATGA